GAGAGCGGGCCTCCAGTGGGCTGTCCCGCAGGTGTGGCAGTGCGGAGGCAGCATGGAGGTGCTGCCCTGCTCCCGCGTGGCGCACATCGAGCGCACCAGGAAGCCCTATAACAACGACATCGACTATTACGCCAAGCGCAACGCCCTGCGGGCGGCCGAGGTGTGGATGGACGGCTTCAAGTCCCACGTGTACATGGCCTGGAACATCCCCATGACCGTAAGCCGCTCCCATCCGGGACAGCTGCCCTGGGAGGGCCCCAGGCAGGAGGGCCCCCAGTTCCTGGAGCTCCCCCCTCACAGCAGGGGCCTGGGTCAGGCCTGGGTGGCCCGTGACCACCCTCGCTCACCCCTTCCCGCCTCGCAGAACCCAGGGGTGGACTTCGGGGACGTATCCGAGCGGCTGGCCCTGCGCCAGAGGCTGAAATGCCGGAGCTTCAAGTGGTACCTGGAGAACGTGTACCCCGAGATGAGGACCTACAACAACACCCTCACGTACGGAGAGGTACCGCCTCCACCCGGTGGCCCTGGTCAGCCAGGCTTCCCACCTGGGCCGCGCCCCACGCTTTAGCTGGGAGGCACGTCTGTCTGTCTCCCCCAGTGAGGATCCTGCCAGTCTGTCCCCAGCGAGCCGGGCTGGACACCCCCACTTCTCCTCCCCACCCCTCAGTTCCCTCCTCCACCCCCCTCACTTGTCCAGAGCAGACCCCTCCGCTGGTGGGTCTCAGCGCCCCTGGGTGTGTCAGCCTCCTGCCTGCCCGCTGCCCCCATCAGGGGCCAGGGTGGGTGGAGCCCCCTCGACCCTCCCCTCGGCCATGGGTTTCTCCTTTGGTTTCTGGTTGTAGGTGAGAAACAGCAAGGCCAGTGGCTACTGCTTGGACCAGGGAGCGGAGGACGATGACCGAGCGATCCTCTACCCCTGCCACGGGATGTCGTCCCAGGTAGGGGCGGGGCTGCCCCAACCGCAGAAGAGAGGTGGGGCGGGAGGTCAGGTGCCCGGGGGTGCGTGTGGGGTTCCTAGCAAAGTTCCAGGGAAGGAGACTGAGGCCGTCCCACAGCCCCTCGCCTCCTTTTATAAATAAAGTTTTATGGGTGCACAGCCAGCCACGGAAGGAACAGGACAGGCTGGGAGCAGGGCTGTCCCTGGGCGGGCTCCCCTGTGGTGATGGGCTGGCCCGGGAGGTGATGCCCACCCTGCTCCCTCCAGGGTCCGCCCCCCAGCCCAGGGTCCTCCCAGCCCAGGGTCACCCTGC